AATTCAGGTTAGCAAAAGTTAGGTCGATTCTGAGAGTGAGGGGTGAAAATAGAGGCTAAATTAGAAGACCCGTATAGCGGCGTTTGTTTATGTTAGTTCGAATTTTTTTTTAATCGACCTTCGAACTTTGCAGTCAAATGCCGATTTTCAGCATATTGTTTATATGGTTTTTTGGCTATAACTCGTCGACTAGTTGATACTTTTTCAATCTGTTAAAGCCAAATTATTGCTAGAGATGTGCGCAACAATTAAAAAAATAAAAATTGATTTAGAAAATTTTTGAACATATTTTCCACAAAACTAAGTCTTTTTTACTTTTTGTTTGATCTATAATATGCTTCTCAGTTTCTTCAATAAATTTCATTTGAAAAGAAAACAATCATAATACAAAACTTCCGTTTTCCAGCTAAATATTAATTTACTTCTCATTTCTTATGTACCAATTTTTTCAGTGTTGGTTTTGAAGAAACATTGAAAAAGAAATTATAAAAATATGAAAAAAATATAATTTTGAAATGTTAGTTATGAAAAGTTTTAAGTAAAAAAATTAAATTAATGATTTGGCCAGTTGCCGTTTAGCAGACGGCAGTGGATCAACATCACTGCTCTCTCTAATATCTTGGTCATCGTCATCATCATCAGAAAGGTCGATAATTTCGTCCAACAGATATTCTGGAATTTCATCTTTGTCTTCCCCTTCTTCCTCTTTTTCCTCGTCTTCCTCTTCTTCAAAGGTGTTTTTATACCACCAACAAATTTCAGCGAGTATTGCATCTGGAGATTTCTTTCCTCTGTACCTGAAACGAAAATAGTTTTCAATCGTTAACATATTTAAATTGTGCGCTCTGACAAAGATATTAGAAAAATCTAGGAATTCAAAATATGCACACTCTATAGTTACCTTATTTCAAATGGAAGCGCAGTTTGGTGATAACGTTCGCCTTGCTCATCAGATTCAGTTGGCAACTGTTGAGCGAGTTGATCAAGATGTTGATGCAAGAGATGAATTTTGTACCACATATTAACCCCAATTTCATCGAAAGCTGCCAACATGTTTGCAACAGATTGCCTGTAGTTGTCTTTGCGTTCTTTACCTAAAAGTCCTTTAATGACTGCTTTCAATGCGAGCCATGCATTTAATTCTCGGTCTGTCAGAACTTGGTCAAAATCTTGACGACTCATTAGTTTCCGTCTGTCGGGACCATTAACAACCCCTTCCTAAATTTTGGCGTTACTTAGTCTTGGGAAAATATCTTTTAAGCGGTTGAATACTGCTGGTCTTTTTGCGATAAATTTCCAAAAAAATTTATCAATGCTAAGTTTAATGTGGAGCAACGGCAACAAAATTTTCATTTCAGGAACAAGACTTTCGTGTAGCCTATTGTCTTTAGGCCATTTCCGTCCAATGCGACTATTCCAGTTATGCTGTTTGTACTGGTTTCTTCCTTTAATACCTTCTCCGTATCGTGAATCCCAATCGCACAAAAAACACGGATATTTTGGACGGCCAGATGCTGTTAAGCCTGTAATCAATGAAACTATTTTGAGGTCGCAGCAAACGCGCCACTGGTGTTCGTTATATTTGACTACTTCCAGAATGTGTTTCAAATTATCGAAATTTTCACTAGTGTCAGTGCTATACGCAATTGGAACAGAAGGCATTCTATTCGTCTTGAGCAAAAGCACAACTTTTAAGCTGATTAGTGAACTATCGATGAATAAACGCCAATCATCTTTTTTATAAGTTAACCCTATCGTCTCCATTAACTTTTCGATATCGTTGCAATAAGTGAAATTTTTTGCATCATTCACATTGAAGAACTTTTCTAACTCTTTTTGGCGTTTTCGATATGCTGTTACTTTGGTACCTTTCGCCAGCAAATTATTTCCTTTCAAAAATGAAGCCAGTTCTGATTTTTTCTGAGTCAAACACAAAATTGCAACAATTGCATCCAATTGCTTTTGTGTGACTAGGATTGGGTCCTTTGATGTTTCATAGGATGTACCTTCACCCGGGTCGTATTCTGAGAAGAAATGCATGGATATAGCAGCGGCGGTTGTAGTACTGATATCTGTTTGAAGATCAATAAATACTTCGGTATGTTGGTACTGGAACGAATTCTGAGTGCGGTAATGGTAATTGGACACTTGGCACTGCTCCATAAGTTTTATTCTTTGCTTTCCTTCTATTCAAAGTTTTATGGTAGTTGATACATCCATAGCAATTTTCTTGTTGATTCGGGCTGTTGTCTAACCACATCATTGGTATACCAAAAGGCATAGCCTTCTTCTTTTCACTATTCCATTGCATAACACTTGAATAGCAATTAAAGCAAACTTTTTTAGGGGCATAGTTTACGTCAGTGATAAACTCTTGCGAGAAATATTGTTTATAGGCTTCCAAAAAACAATCACTCGCGTTGCCACATTTTTCATCGCTTGCTATGAAACGTCCACAAACATTACAAAAATGGTCCATTTTACATTTTGGTTCCGACATTTTTAATACAATATATATTATACAATGTTGTTTTTGTTATTTTTATGAAACCGATGCACTTAACTTAAATCACTCACAAAATGAAATAAGTTCCAAAAAATTAATAGCGAATTTTATCACGACCGAGCGAAAATTAAAAGACATCAGCTTCGGCTGAGTTTCGAGTCTTAACTGAATCTTTATTTTTGATATTAGTTCGCTGTACGAAATAAATAAAAATCGTTACCTGTGCGGTGGTTGGAAACAAAAAAGAGGAAGACGAGGAAAAAGAGGAAGAGGGGGAAGAAATTTATTGCATTTGACTGCAAAGTTCGAAGGTCGATTAAAAAAAATTCGAACTAACATAAACAAACGCCCCGATACGGGTCTTCTAATTTAGCCTCTATTTTCACCCCTCACTCTCAGAATCGACCTAACTTTAAGAGGAATACAAGAAATGAGTTAAAGGCATCAAAATGGTTTTTATTAATGCAAAAACATGCTTTTTTTTTTTAAATATATCTTTTGGCTTAACCGCCGCAATTGCGTGCTGCAGCCTTTTTTTGTGACGGCAAAAAGGGCGTAAGCGACAAAATCACCTGTTTCATTAAAGATGGACAAATAATACCACCAGTATTATATACCTAACATCAAACGTAATTTATTCGTTGACCTTCACGTTAGTATCTACAGTAATTGCCGTGTTAATAAAAAAACGCCTACTGTAAAATTTACTTTTTGTCGCTTACGCCCTTTTGGCGGTTAGGGCTCGAAAGGATTAAGATTTTATTTAAAATAAATGTTTAAAATTTCCGAGCACTATCTTATTAATAAATTCGGTTATCATCACTATGCACTTTTTTGCAAATTTCGACGTGGAATCTGCGCAAAAATACTGTGGATGGCGTAGCCGGAGTGATGTGCACAAGAAGTGTAGTATACCTTTGACATGCGGAAGCCCCTCTTCTCCGGCAACACAGAAAGGAGAATTCTTCTTACAGGTCTATTCTGCGCTGGTAACATAAATTTTGTAACCGGTAATTAAAGTGTCTGTCAATTTTTAAAGCTTTTTCGCATTCTGTGCGCTCTTGTAACCGGTAAATTTGGTTACCATCTCATGAGCTGGTAACAAAATATTGCCCCGTGAAATATGCAGCACACGAATTTCCACAAATCTCCATAGCTGAACTGCTGAATATTTTCACTGCATTACCAACGTACCTAGAATCGCGGTGACAAGAAGTGGTAACATTTTTTGGTAATACAATTTTCCGGTCACAAAATCTTCGGTAACGTGCAGAATAGACCTGTAAGTAAGGGTTATAATCCTTAAGCGCGGCCGAAGGCAGAAGCAAGTGCAACAGGTGGTGGACCTAACAAAGTGCATGTCTTCAATGGCTTGGAAGAAGCTGTTATTGCATTAACTGGATTGAGAACAAGTTCTTCCGGCAAAGGAGTAGTTCTGGATTATGGTTCAACAATTTAACTAGAAGCTGACATAGACGCGCCCATGGTTACTATGCCCGACAGCTCCGCATATCTTTGTGAAATCATTCCCATAGCGCGCTCTTACTCCGCTGCTATAATTGCAAATGCAATAGAATCCACCGTTTCCTCCAAAATATGTAAAATCAAACAATTTTACTATAAATAAGCACTTCATGAGTGTTTTATTAATTTCTTTCCACTTTGTTTTCCTTCATTCAGCTATCTTCGAAAAACAACTGATAGCTAGCAATGCTGCACATGTTTCCGCAAGGGTTGCAGCATGTGGATTTTTCATTTTTCGTAGCGTAGCTACGAATTACGAACTACGAAAATTCTGGTTCTAGAATAAGGGGGCCCAAGAAAATAGATGGGAGAGGATTTCCTCGAAAGTAGAAACAGTCAGAGTGAGGTCAGAGGATTTAGAAAATAGAAGGATGTCATCAGCATAGATTTGATGTCAGATATTGGGGAAGTTGAACGATATAAAATTGATTTCATCAAAACCTATGATGAAAAGTATAACCGAAAGAGAAGATCCCTGGGGAGTAACCGGAACCGGCCAAGGACTGTCACTCCAGCAACACTCCCCAAAAACTTTGGGGAATCTGTATGCTGTTACAACAACATGCCTGGGGAGTACCATTTTCAAGTGGGAGAGTGGGGGAAAAAATGTCCACAAATATTTGCCTTCTACATTTCCCTTAAATAAAAATATTTGATTGCTAAACACTTAATATTGAATTTCAAGATACCTTTTATTGAAAGAGTAAGGTGCAACAATTCTAAAACATTATTAAAGTAACTAAAGTACAACAAATGCAAACCAAAAGAACATTGATTTTACAAAATATATATATGCATTTCATCTTATTTTTACATTTAAACTTACATAGTATCCAGCTCTCAAGAAAAACCAAATTTCAAATAAAAAGCACTCAAGAATTGAATAAGAAATTTTTTTCAACCATCATTTTTGAATTCAGGTTCAAGCTGTTAGTATGCAGCTCACTTGCCATTTTGTTCTACAATTCTCTAAAGTTTGATTTTACTTGCCTGCTTGCAAGCGACAGAAACAATGAAAACTATTTCTTTAGAGCTAGATACTAAGCTTAAAGAAGCAAAATATCTGAAAAACTGTTACTTTGTTAAAAGATAATAACAAAAATTATATTTTGAATAAAATTACTTAAGGTATTGATCAGAAATATACACGAACCTCCTTTACTTAATAAAATTCAAAACCACGTTTTTCGAAAATACTATAGGACTAAAATAAAAATCCACCCTTTGGCGTATCAACGTTTGGATTAAATGTGTATTGTGTTTCTTCTTCAGTAGGTGCCACACGCGAATCTTCTTCTTCGTTACTAAAATATTGTTCTATTATGTAAAATGATTTGTAATAAATGTCGCGATTTTCATGGGACTGCAGGTACTCAATTTTGTCTAAACCTGAAAAAGAAATATTATTATTAATATGTTGTTAATTACACATTACTAAAATGAATATTAATATGTATGTATTAAGCACCAACTGCAATAACTATCGAATTAAATATACATATCTGTGGCAATAAGGAAAGCCTGACTATAGTACGAGTGAGTACAATGTACCATTCTCACCGTATGCTTGTGAATTTATGCAGTAGCCACTTAAATATTGTTAAAAAATGAGTGTAAAAGAAATATTTTTTTAATGTCACAACCCCTTCTTAATTTTCCCATGAATTCTCATCAAAAATTTCCCTTTAATTTTGGTAATAAAGGTATTATACTAGTCGGTTTTAATAGTTGTTACTTATTGCCACAGACATGTATGTACATTAGGGTGGCCCAAAAATGCATGTGAAAATATGCAATGCTCTCACCCCCAAGGATTGTTCTATATTTAATAAAATATATCGAAATCAAAAAATATTTAGAGTAGCTCAAGCGCTCAAAGTTTTAATTTCATTTTAATTACAAAAAAAAAATGTGGAAATGGAACAGAATTCATAAAAATCAATATTTTTCGATCGACAAACTCTGCTTCTCTTCAGGAGACTTTCAACAACACAGTACCTTAGTAAAAGAATTACATGTGCATCATATGTTTCCTTGAAAATTCTTTACCGTTATCTTTCCTGGCTCTTCTTCAGATAGTTCAATGCCACGAGATATTATGGGCCGTGATATAATATGGAAAATATGTGAAAATAGCTTCTACATACTTAAGTCTATAACACTTTTTACTGTACTTTTTTGTTGAGAATTCATGACACTGCAACAATCGGAAGCCGAATAACTCCTTATGCACATGTAATTATTTTCTATTGAATGTACTACTGATTGCTGAAACGGTAGATAAAACAAGTAATTTTTAGCAAAAAAAAACCGACTCCCATATAAAAAAAAATATATATATATATATCTCATGATCCACTGATCGGATCTCAAGCAGATTACCTCTGAGACACTACCTTTCCGATGCAAAAAGAATTATCGAAATCGGTTTACGTGGTCCAAAGTTATGCGGTAACATACATAACAAAAAAAAAAATAATAATATTCCGACGAACTGATAACCTCCTCCTTTTTTGGAAGTCGGTTAATAATACACAAATACCAACCTAGTGTATGGAAAATATTTATAAACCAATGGCTATTCTAATTGGAAACCACAAAAACTTTACCCTTATTTACTAAGGTACAACAAAATTTAAGATTTCAAAAAACCCCCGGGGTTTCTCACAGTTTTTCGTACAAAAGGTAAAGCGGAAAGCTTCATTGAGATGTTCTACAGCTCAAACAGCGCCAGACCGAGGCGCAAAGTAGAATGTTACAGCGAAATCCTGCATTCGGAAGTTGTATGAATTCTATTTTAAAAAATACAACTGCATTGTTATGGACTACGAAACCTTTGCTATAAATATATTGCAGGTCAAGATTTTTATACTGGTGCAAGTCGTCAAGATGTCCCTGAAAGTTGTAAGCTGAAAATGAAGTCCAAATTTCCAAAAAACACATGGTTTGGCAAGCTATTTGATCCTGTGGCCGTAAGAGCAGCCCTTTTTTCCCATCCGGGACAATGAATGATCAAGTTTATCGGGATGAGTGCCTCAAAAGGCGTCTTCTGTCATTTATCAACAGATAAGGAGTAGGCCACTGTTCTAGGCGGACGTGGGAACCTGCCTCTATGCCAAGGACACATTGCCGTGGTATAATGCAAATAACATCAATTTTGTACCTCACGACTGCAATCCACCCAATAGCCCAGAGCCACGTCCTATTGGGGAATATTGGTCAATTGTCAAAGAAATCTTGCAGAAAACAGGTGAAACAGTGAAAAATATTGAAGAGTGCAAAACAAAGTAGTTGTGCGCATCGCGTAAAGTCGATGATGCAGTCGTGCAGAACATGATGGCGCGTGTGCGATGAAAATACCGTTCACTTGCATATGGAGCAAATAATAACTAATATTTTAACATTTTAATAACATCTAAACTTCCAAGTTATATTATACAAAAAATAATAATTTCAAAGCTTCTAGTTTGTTTCTGGTAGTAATTTCTAAGTGTTGTAGTTTTGGTGTGTTCACCCTTTATTTAAACAAATACTCGTTGATGGATCTTTACACCACTTCTTACCTAGGGGATTTTTGAGTCGCTGATTACGAATCTGAAGTCACTTATCAAAAATTAAAAATGGCAGATCCAATATGGCGGACGAAAATTAAAAAAAAATCGGTAGATTCCTATGAAACTCGGTATCTGGGGGTTTTCTGGGTCGCTGATTACATATCTAAAGTCATTTACCAAAAATTCAAAATGGCGGATCCAATATGGCGGACGAAAATTAAAAAAAATCGGTAGATTTCTATGTAACTGGGTATCTGGGGATTTTCTGGGTTGCTGATTACGAATCTAAAGTCATTTACTTAATTTACTTTATTTACTTCGGAACGAGCATTTTCATCAGATATTTCTTGGATCAGATAATCACGGACACCTTGTTGTCTTTTAGAAGTTTCTGCAACACCAAATGTCAAACAACTCACTTCTTAAGATTTTATTTACCATGACTAAAATTTAAGATCACAGCAAGAAACACAAATAAATTTCAGAAAAAAATTTATAACAGCGCTTAAAGATTTGCATGCCCGTTGTATAATTTTTTAATTTCAGAAAGCAGAAAATTCGCGAGGTACTATTTTTTTTAACTCTTACATAACCAAAGGTTTTATAACTCCAAGTATTTTTCTGTTTTAACACACAACCTCTCCCCCCCTCTCCCCCGTGGATCCGCCACTGATCTTATTTTTATATTCAGATACATTCCTGTTAATAATTACTTTTCAATTTTGAGATTTGACATACCGTCACTAAAATGTAAATATCTAAGCCAATTGGTTAGACTTGGTGATCGAACTTACCCTCTGCATTTGCGAGGTGTAAAGAATAATATGCAAGTGGTTTTATAACGGCCTTCGGCGGCCTTTACTTTTCCTACTCTTTAATTTATTTTTTTAATTAATCAAAACGACGATTTTTCAGAATAAATTTGCTTATACCAATGTGGACATAAATTGCGTTATGGCCTCTAAATCTATAGCGGAATAAGTGTAATTTTTTGTTTATAAAGTCAATTTGCAATTATGCAAATATTTGTGAGTGCAATTAGCAATCTTTTAAGTTAAATTTCATGTTTTAAAATAGAGTTCTCAAATAGGCGGCGTTGACTTACCTTTTTTTGTTTGTTTTCATATGTTAATGCTTTAATAAATGCAATTTCTATTTGAATGTATTGTCAGGAATGTATTCCAAGTACTATTAAGTATTTTAAAAACAAAAAAATTTTGACAATTTTTTTATTCTTTTTGAACAAGTGTAACTAAAGGTTTTTGAGGTCAAGGAATCATAATATAATATTTATTTTTAGATTTGACCGTATACAGATGTCGCTGCAGTGCGAAAAATTGGTGTTTTAGTACATTTTCTACTCATTTTACATTTGTTATGAGTTTGATGTTCGCCACAGAGAAATCTAAATATTTTATTCTTTGACGTATATTGCACCCGGTAATGTGTCAGAAAATTTCACCATCTAATATTGTCCAGAGTGTACGGCAACGCTAAAACTGCCAATGAGAGTCTGCCATCTTAACAATTCTTGGCAACTACAGGGAACATTACCGGCTAGTACATAAAAAGCCTAAAAGCGGAAAAGAGTCGACAACACTTTTAGACAAGGCACACTATAGGGCTATTACTGCACGTCTATACCTGCTATGGGCGCTCGCATACAACTATCAGTTTTCTCGCATACCAAATCTTATCGCAGTGCGATCAGTGCAAATGAAAGCAAATATGAAAAAAGTTGCTAAACCCATAGTTAGGTATGCGATAAATGGTATGAGATATCTCTTACTTCATATCACTGTGTTACCAAAAATACGAGTGATCTAGAGATGGCCCCAATTGGCAAAACTCGATATGCATGCAACCGTTCATAATAAAAGAAAATTTTTAACAATAGCATTTTCCTTTTTCATGACAAACAATATTTTTTTATCTTGAAAGTTACGATATCATGCTTTCCGACTTTTGGGACGCTTAACATAGGCAGGTCCTTGTTAGCGTTCCCTGAAACTAAGCTTCTTTAATAATAGTCGATAAAAAAACTGAATAAATTGTCAATATTATTAAATTGTAACGCCTTATCTACATTTACCCTTACGTAAATCGGTTATGTACCTAAAAATCAATATATACATCCTTCATTTTCCCATAAATCTAAAGAAAAATAAATAAACCCAACCAGATTGCATGGTACTTATCGATAGCACCGCGTCCATCTCTAACATGCCATCAAAACTTGCGTCGCATTTGGCAAGGGTATAAAACCCGCTGGCAAACTCACAGTCGGCCATTTGCGATACCGTTTGTCACAATCAAGTGGAAGTGAAGAAAAACAGCCAAAGTGCGTTTTAGTGTTAAAATAATTAATTTTGTGGGTTTTTATCACACCACACAAGTTTAAAAACAGACAACAACAAACTAAAATAATCAAACTTTCGCCAAAAGTAGTCGAGAGAAAAATGAAATAATTTTGTGAAAACTTTAACGAAAAAACAAAAAGCAAAAACTACAGCAGTGGGGGAATTAGCCCCGAGAAGTGCGTGCTAACACTCCTTTCGGTGCCATCGCTTCGGGATAGCGCCACTATCTTGCGCATTGCATCCTGCTTCACCGTCCGCAGAAGCGGGCTACCAGCTTAGAATTCTATCAAGGAGCGAGCGACGTCCAAGAGTACCCGGTGAGTGGTGGTAACTTAAGCGGCGCATCCAGTCCAGCAAGTAGGGCCACAACCACCTCTGCGCTACTGGCCTGCAAAATAGCGCGCTTGGAGCGCATCCAGGCATCAAGAGCCACTATCATCGCTACAGTCAGGTTATTTTTTTTTTTAATTGCCCT